CCTTGTTTTTTAAATCTAACGTAAGACAATGACTATTTTTTTTTTGTTCTACAAGACAGGAAAGTAGATACCCATCCTCCATGCAAACTGAGTCCTGCATGACTTTAATTCTTGTACTTGTTGTGGCTCCATACCCCAAAAATCAGTTTATTTGGAACAATATTTGAGGAGCACAGACCGAGTCTAAGACCACTTTGTATGCTCAGCAAGTAGAAATGTTCTATGCTACGCATTTCTCTTTGAATGGGATTCTGCAAAAATTCTACAAAGGTGTGCAGAAGGATGTTTATCTGCTGCATTCTTTGGGTTTGTGAATGAAGTGTATCGGTGGAAAGGGAGGGATAAATTACGTGAATTTCAATTGCACCAAAAGCATCCTTCCAGTTGGTCTCTCACTGTGATAATATGGCACCATCTTTGATTTCAAGAAATGTTCAGCACAAAGAGAAAAAGGACAGCAACCACTGATTTCATATCAGTTACAGACTAGACTAGGCATCCTTCAGTCTCAAGAGTCTATGGTAACGTGCTCCGTATGGAGGACTTGGAACAGCGTCTAGTGTCGCTGAGAAGGCCGATTCAAGCGTGACAATCCCTTCCACACTGAAGACAAATACAGACTGTCCCCTGTCCAGCTCCCTGATTTTGCTGGTTTCGGGACTGCCTCTTTGCCTCGGCCTGCTGGACAAGTGTCTCTTCAAATTGGGAGAGGCTGTGATGCAACTCCAGGCTGAACGCTCAGATGTCAGGGTTTCCCATCTGTTGAGGTCCATTCCTAAGGCCTTCAGTTACAGAATGTATATGACATACGTCTCAATGCAACATGGGGGGGGGCAGAAACCCAGCTCATCTGAGTTACTCAAAGAGTTTAACACCAACTACTGCAAGTTATCACAGTTCAGTGGCATGGGACACATGGCGCTAATTCATGTAGGGCCTGTCTTCTGCTACATGTTCCAATTCCAAACCAGATTCTTGCCAGATTCTCTTAAGGTCTTAAGAGATACACAGGGCAAAATCACAGCATTAAACCATCCTCTTTGCCCTGACTAACTGAGCAGGCAAGGTAAATGACACACAAGGCACGGATGAAGGTGAGTGAAGCCTAAGGCTCTAAATGAAGTCAGCTTCCTAATTCTGGCACAGCTGAAACAGCAAGCTGGGGTCTCATCAGAAACAAAAGTAAGCCCTACTGGATCAAACCAAAAGCCTTGCCTAGTCCACATCCTGTTCTTCATGGAGGCCAACTGAATATTTATAACGTCCTCAAGCAGGACATTAGAGGCAATAGTGCCTTCTTGCTCCTGTTTCCCAACCACATGTCCAGAGCCACACTGGTTTAAATCTAATCGTTATTCCCAACAGTAGACCTACTAAATCAAGAGGAGGACTTGGGAAGCCAACATTCATACAAGTCCCATGGATGCAGTGAGTCTATTCTGTTCAGTACTAACAGCTGAATTTATCTCTGTTTGCCTCCAGTTCTGGAGACATTCCATATCGTTGCTACGTCCAATAGCCACTGATTGCGTGACCACATTAAGACAAACCCTGCTGCTCACTTCACCGTTGGGATATTCTGAGCAGCTCCTCAAAATTATCCCCGAGTACACACATCCACTAAAATGCGCTAAACGTAATCTCTTAGCTTAAGATTCTATGCAAAAATAATACGGTTTGATCTTATAGTTAATTAAGCATCGAAAAGCATATTTCCTGCAACCCAGGCAGACCACAAGTAGTTCAAACACAGATGAATGTATAGCATTGAATGTCCAAGTCAAGGGCCATCATGACTTCCAGGTACATTTAAATGCCAGTGCATCTAGCTTTTCAAATTAAGGACTCATTTTATGGGCAATAATACCTTTGCTTGGCAGGCAGGGATTCTGTAGCTGCAGGACCTGGAAGTTCTGCTCCCCAGGTCTTCCTAAGCTGATCAAGTAGGCCATGTTTCAATGCAACCCAGGAACATTTTCCTTCAAGAAAAGGGTGAAGTTGGCGGCAGGAGTCTTGGGGCTTCTCCTTGTTTTCCAGTGTCCTGTCTTTCCATTTTCTTGCTGCCAGGCATGCTCCAAAACCTTCCATCAAAACCACTGCCTGCTCTTTCTCACTCTCTACTATCCCAGAGATGTTCCATTTTACCAATATTCTCTGGAGCACAGCTACAGGCATAGCTGATTCTAGTATATTCAAGGATGCCAACGAGGCGTAGTGGATACAGTGACAGATTAGAACTCAGGAGACCCAGTTCAAATCCCCACTTGGCTACAGAAATTCACTGGGAGGTGGTGGCGGCGGCAGTAGAACTGGTAAAACCATTCCTCAAATATCTCACATACCCTGGAAATCCTATTAGTATTGCTATGTCAGATGTGATTTGACAGCACATAACATAAAATATCCAAGACACTCAAGCTAGAAACTTGGGGATTGATTTTCTAAGGGGGTCCGTCTATGGGTCCAATCAATAACATCCCCATTTTCTGAGGGAAACAATCAAAGATTAGGAGCAATATTGGAAGGGGGGCAAAGGGCCGAATTTGGAGCAGAATGAAGACCTTTAGAAGCAGCTGTTAGGGCAAAAAGGAAGAAATTTTGCCTGCTACTCACCCACCCCCACGATGCCAAAATGAGAGGGCTTCATAAAGGAAGAGCAAGTTATCCTTCACATTCCTAACTCATCCTTCTAACAAATCTCATACAATATTCTATATTCCCCAAAGCATTTTGGCTCAACATCTTCAAGCTTCCTCACCTTTCACAAGCAACCCAACATTGTGAAAATGCATTTATAGCTGAGGAGGGAAGGTGGGGGTGTGTGTGGAGAGGATGGGGACCATTCCATCTCCACTGAAAGCAGAAACCCACCAAAGGAAATTGGTGAGGGGGGCCTTACATACAATAAATGGGGAAAGAAAGGAGAAGATTACTAACAGGTTCTTTATATGATCATCCATTCCCCCTTCATCTGTCCATCTGTGCATCCTTCAGCTACATTTCTCTCTCTCTCTCTCTCCAATGTCTATATTTGTCCCTTTTCTTTAGCTAATCATGCCGTGCTCCTCATCTCTCTCACACACACTCACAGACAAATACACAGAGAGAGAGGCTCTTTTCTAACCATATCAATTCCTAGTGTTCTGTGTCCCCCCCCCCAAGACTATTTATTTCCTTACTGGGAGCGGGGGAGGGGGCAGAAGCTCACCACAGGCTGCCATGAAACTAGATCTGCTCTATTTCTACCTCCCCCCCCAATGAAGAATTTAAAACCAAACAGATCTGTAGCAATCCTCAGTCTAGCTTGGTATCAAATTAAAATAATCGGAGCCTGTTTCCTCGCCCCCTTTAAATTCAGTGGAAGACTCAAAAGGGGGGGAGGGCAGGAATGAGAGTAACCAATGCTCAGATCTAATGGAAGGGGAGATGGAAGAAGGGTATTAAAGCTGTGGTTGCCGTAATATAAGGATGTATAGTTGCTTCCCTCTAGACTGCCCCCTCTTCCCACCCTTCATGTGGGTCAACGAAAATCGGGAGATATTATACAGGCACGCATTATCTTTGATTCGAAGTGGGTCCTTCCTAGTGAGGGAAGGAGGGAGGGCTGAGCAGGATGAGGCTCCAGCCGCTCCAGGATCAGACTCGCAGCTCCATTTCCAAGACCACGAGCCATCCCCCAAAGGTAGGTTGCTTCCGAAGGGCCCGGCCTGAGGTGAAGTAAGGGACACATCAGCCCGCCTCCAGAGCGATACGCTCGGCCGCGGGGGCGGGGTGGGCATCGAGGGTGGTGGATGGCACAGCCCAGAGCCATCACAACAAGCGCGCGCGGCCCCCCCCCGCCCCGCATCCGCCGGTCGGTCGGTCCGCCTGCCCGCCTGCTCCTTCCCTGATTAACCATTCTGCCAGCATCCTCCTCCCATCTTGAAATTGTACGTGGGGGAAAAAAAAAAAGATTTGCGCGCGTTTCTGCGCCCGCCGCCGCCGCCACCTCCTCCTCTAAAGCCTGCCTGTTACATAAAGACACGTATCAAGGAAATTTGGTGCTGCTGGTAATGGTAGTGAGTGATCCTTACAGGAGACGAAGGGGCAGCCGCCGCGATCTTATACTGGTTCCGGATATATATTTTTTTCCTGCAGCAAAATTCACCACAGTTTGGGGCGGGGGCGGGGCGGGATGGATGGACGGAAGACAAGGATAAGCCCGGAGACAAGATCTCCAGAAACAGCCCTGCCCTCCTCTTTGTGCATTACGGTATTCTGAGGGTAATTTCTCTTTCTCTTCCTCCCACCCACCTCCCCGCCACATATATACAAAATCTGGGAAGGGGGGGGGGAAAATACCGCAGTAACGGCGGCGAGGGGCAGGGTATTTTTTTTGCAGATGGCTTTGTCTTGGGCACACGCAGAGACAGAACGGAGGGCAGGCGGCCGCCACCATCCTTAAGCGGAGACAGGGACCCTCGTTTATCGACCCCCTTTCTGCCTGATCACAAAATCTCTGGGGGGAGAAAAATGGAGCGTGGATATTGGGAGGGGGGAGGAGGAAATGATCTCTTATCCTCCTAGCCTCGGAGTCCAGCCAGTAACACCCCCCCTCCCCCGTTCAAGTCTCAGTGGCGCAAAGAAAGCCTGTCTGCGAGAGACGCGAACCAAACATTAAGTCCAGCAGTACCCAAACCACCGAGGGAAACGGGGGGACGGGGACGGGGGACGGAGCTCAAGGCGAGGGAAACTCGGCATCATAATAAATAATAACAAGAATAACGTTGTATTCTCTCCCACAGAAAACCCTGCCTAAATCCTTCAGCCCACCCCTCCACAAAAGCTCGCTGTCCACATTTTATCAGGCGTCGGAGGCCAACAGGGTCATCGATTTAAAAAAGAAAAGAAAAGGAGGGGGGGGCAGAGAAGTATTAGCAGCTCACTCCCCAGCACATCCACCGCCCTCCCCCCCCGCCGCCCCAAGACGTAATGTTCTCAGAATCGACCCTCGTTCTTACCTTCTGAGATCCAGTCCTTTCGGGTTCCTCCATTCAGGGATCCCTAAACCATCCTGCCGCCAGGACGGCAGGGCTTGAGCCCCCGCAGGTATTAGGAAACACGAGGCAATCGGATGCGTGATGCGCGATCTCGATCTTCTTCCGATCGCTCCCCCTTGGGGCGTCAATTTCAGAGAAACGTGGAGGGGGGCGCGCACACACACAGAGACACACACGCGCGCACACACTCAAAACATCGAGTCCTGATTTCGGATTGTTTTGGCCGGGGGGGGGACGAGTAAAAGTGGGGGGGAGGGGCGAGAAAGCAGGGGATGTCTGCTATAAATCAGGTACGATCCCTATTTCTGTTGTTATTTGTTTGCAGCCACCCCCCTCCCACAACACCAGAAGGAGGGGGAGGAAGAGGAGGAAAGAAAGGAAGGGAGGGAGAGAGAAAAAAAGAAGGGGCCGAATCAAAGCCCTCCTTCCCCTGATGAGATGTCACTGGCGGACGCCTCCAGCAGGCGAACCGCCTCGCTTAGCAATAGGAAAGGAAATCTTAAAATATATCTATCCAGCAGTCCGGGCATTTTGGAGACGGTGGAGGCAAGAAAACGAAGATCCACCCCCACCCCCCAATCACACAGATATGCAGGAGGGCGCGCACTGGCGGCGGCGGCGGCGGCGGGGTGGGGGCTCCGTCTGCCTGCTCTACTCGTCTCCCTTCCTCCTCCTCCGCCCTTCGTCTCTCCCCCCCCCACGCCCCGCAATCGGTACACAGAAACAGGCACACTCGCGCTCACCGTCGACACCGACCGGCCAGGGACGATCGGGGGCTTGGTGCTCCGGGATGCACGGGCCTCTAGCCTCCCCCACCCGCCGTCCAGCCCCGCCTTGCAATCCCTAGCTTCCCAGCGGCCCCCCGTCTCTCCCCATGGCGTGAGAGCTCCCGTTGCCTGCCGGGGACCCCTTCTCGCCAAGGATCGCGCTCTCGCGCGCTCTCTTCCTTGCTGCGAACGCCCCCTCCCGGCAGACTCCACCGGGCAAGGCGAGGTGGCGGCGAAGGGGATGCGAAGGAAGGTGACTGAAGGGGGGAAGGAAGGAAGGAAGGAAGGAAGGAAGGAAGGAATCCTTTCGGCCTCGCCTTTGCCGGCTTCACAGTTAGGGGCGCAGGCAACTTTAGAGAGCGAGCCCCCGAGTCCCTCCCGGCGCCCTCTCCGCTTGAGCCTTGGCCGCAAAGCCAGGAACCTCCAGCAAGGATGCTCAGAGGGAAGCTCTCGCTGCTTGCTTTGCACACCAGGGACCGACCGGGGAGCCGCGGCGACGAGGCAGCCTCTGTGCCATTCAGGGCTGGCGGAGGCAGGAGGGAAAAGACGGCTCGGATTCGAGAAGGGACGGATACACCTGGGAGGCACGCATGGTGCCATACAGGAAGGAAAATCTGGAGCGGATGAGCGGATTGGGGACCGGGGAACGGACAGGGAGGCAAGCCGAAATCTCCCCGGTGGACTCGAGAAGTTGAGGGGGGGGGAAGTATGGAGAGTGGAAATGGAAGGAAAAGAAGGTGCGGGGCTGAGGCGGCATAAAAGGAGACGGGAAGGGGAAACCAAACACTTCGCGGGCGCGGGGAAGGCATGGTGACGAGAGAACCTGGAAAGGAGGCGAGGGGAAATTGGGCTTCAGAACCGAGGGCTGCATCTCGTGGCGAGGGCAAAGCGGCCCAGGTGTGAGCGGGGGATTAAGACCAACAAGCTGAGCGCCCCAACGCGAGACCGCCCAAATTGGCGGGAGACGGGTTGATAAAGAGGAGAGGGAAGGACGGGATTTCACGGGGCCCAGGAAGTGAGAGATCGATTCTCCTAGCTCGTCCTAAGGAATGGGTACACCCGAGTTGGACTGGGAGGGCACGCTGGCTAATGCACTCGCCTGGCATGAGGAGGGAGGCAAAATCTGGCCTGGAATCCGTTGTCTCTGCCGGATAAGCAGAAACACCTGTATAGTTGGCAGGAGGAATCAAATGCCAAGCTGTGGAAGTGTAAATACGAAGCTGAGGCAAAGGAAACCCTGGATTGTTTCATGTGCCATATTGCGGGGCAACTACTAGCAGAGAACAAATACATTTTGAGTCAGGGTTTTCCGCCCCTAAAACCGAAAGTTAGTCTGAGAGAGGGGAGCAAAGTTCAGAATCCAATAAGCCAGTGATTTTCAACCTTGAATAACCCAGGAATTCTTGGACTGCATTTCCCAGAAGCCTTCGCCACCATCTGTGTTGGCTGTGGTTTCTGGGAGTTTCAGTCCAAGAACACCTGGGTTGCCCAGGGTTGGGAACCACCGCAATAGACCATCTCACCCAGTGAGGAGTACTGGAGAATTCAAGAGCTTGTATATCCTTCTTGGATGCCAGCTGGCCCTAGTAAAAGCATTCCTTGCCTGTCAATTTCATTTTGTACTTAGGTGTCAGTGGAAAAGTTTGGAGTTCTACTAGATGAAAGGAAATACAGTTCAGTTCTGGCAAAATCCAAAGGTGTTCTATGTCAGGAGACAGGCTGATGCTGAGCTTGTATCGATTGTGGGAGACCAGCATGCCCACCCTGAACCACAGCACAAGGTCGTAGAGGTTCCTGGCCATTCTGGAGCATGGAACTATCTGGATACCCTTTACACATTTCACAAACCCATAACAACGTCTGTACTTCAGTCCAGCTGAGGGATATATGGCAGCTAAGTAGCTGCAGAGTCACCAGCAAACTCAGTTCCGCATAGATCAAGAAAGAAGTACTGTAGTATGAAATACCTCTGCTGGAACTGCTTTAAGTCAGCAGAAAGTATACCAATGGGCTGCCTGAGTAGAAAGCACCATCATACTTTCATGCAAGATATGACCAAACTCTGTTGAATGTTGGGAACAGAGAACAGGGGACCTGGCCAATGATGCTGAACTGCATAGCCTGTTATCTTTTTAACCACTGGGCATGCTGGCTAGGGCTAATGAGAGTTGCAGTCCAATAGCATCTAGAATTCCTCACTCCGTTCTTTACACTAAAAAAAAAAATACTTGCCCCAGTAATATAGAGAACTGAGACCCATAAGCAAAAAAATCAATATAGTCAGATGGGCTTTTTGGTCAAAACAGAAATTCAGCAAAAATGAAGAAACTGGGAAAATAAATGCTTTGTCCTTATCTCTCCTATAGTTTAAAGCCACAGATTGCAGTTCAAAAATAATGTAAGAAGTACAAGAGTACATCATCTAAAATACAACATGATACAATAAAATGAGGTGAATGATTTAATACACTGGTTCTTAACCTTGGGTTACTCAGGAGTTTTGGACTGCAACTCCCAGAAGCCTTCACCACCAGCTGTCCTGACTGGGGTTTCTGGGAGTTGCAGTTCAAAAGCATCCGAGTAACAAAGGTTAAGAACCACTGATTTAATAGACTCTGGTTCCATTAAGCCACACCCACTGGCCTGAAGTTGCTGATTCTCAGCTCAGCTTCTGTAAAATGGGAATAAAAGTGTGCTAATATGTGGACCCCTTCACGGATTGCTGCCTTAGCGTGGCAAAGGGGTTTGAGTAATTCAAAGAAGCTATGGGCTATGCCATGCAGGGACACCCAAGACAGGTCATAGTGGAGAGTTCCAACTAAACGCAATCCACCTGGAGCAGGAACTGGCAAACCATTCCACTATCTTTGCCAAGAAAACTCCATGGACGGAAACAAAAGGCTAAAAGATTTGATACTGGAATATGAGCCCGTCAGGTCGGAAGGCATACAACATGCTACTGAGGAAGAGCGGAGGACAAGTACAAGTAGCTCCAGAGCTAATGAAGTGGTTGGGCCAAAGCCGAAAGGACACTCAGCTGCGGATGCGCCTGGAAGTGAAAGGAAAGTCCAATGTTGCAAAGAAAAATACTG